CTGCTGTTGTGAGCACGTGGGGTCTACAAGCAGGATCCAAGCGCTGCTGGATAGAAACACTGGAGCGGAGTCAGTGAACTGCTGGAACGGACTGCTAATATCGGAGCGCTTATATCGGACATTTTTCATGCAGTCCGATAAAATCCGATACGCGTTTTTTGGCTGATATCGGACCGATATCCGATATTGATATCGGATCGGGACACCCCTACTTTTCAGTATACATTTTATCAAATATTTCACTCGTATGTTTGCATGTGTGGCAGATGATCTTGTGCTCCAGTCTGGTGATCTGCAGCAGCCTCAGTTAAAAGGATCCTATTACACAGTTCTTGTAGTTCTTTAGAGCACCAAAATGTTTTATGGAGATGTAAAGCATTAAAGTACTTCCATGTGCTCTCTGTCTGTCTCAGGCTTCTAATCATTCACAGTGCTTTTGCTGACACTGCGTTAGTATGCTTCAAAGATTTATGTCTAAAATGTTTAGGAGCTTCGTTAGAAACTATATGAACAGGATCAACTAATGCAGTGCAAAGAAAATTTAAGATGGGATCAATAAAGTATTTAGAGCTGGGCGATATGATCAAAATTTTATATAACAGTATTTTCAACATTTTCACCGGTTTCACGGTATTTGACGGTATTTTTCTTTTCATCACAGCTCAGCTGATAATAAAATGTACAAACCCTGCTTATTGACTTTTTTTTCTTTTACTGTACCTCTGTCTGTGTCTCTGTTTCCCTCCTCTGTATCTGTTCTTCTCTGACTGGTGGTTGGAGACAGTAGTCACACATTTTGGTCCAGTCATGAAGGAGGAGGGTTAAGAAAAGATTTTGATCGGGTTTATTGTTTTGTTATTTATTAAAGCTTATCAGCATGACTCACCTTGCACACCAGTCAATTCCAACTCCACTACGAACTACTTCCTGCAGGCTTTTCAGAATAGAACCACATTAAGTCTCCATCAGCATAACGTCTCCATATTAACTAACCACGTTAAATCTAACTGTGCACGTCACTGAAGAGGTGTTTACTACACTCAGCGACGTTGAAAACGGGATGTTTTTTTAAACGTCAGTTAATATAAGCAGCGGAATCGCCACCTGCGGCTGCAACTAGCTGCTCCAAACATTAGCATGCTAACGCTCATAGCGGTGCAGCAACAAAAAATGTCCCCCGGTAAACAACAGTTCACTGGCGGCCGCGACGAAACGTTCCGCTATTTAAACCGGAATGTCCGGTATTCAAAAAATTAATATCATAACAAAAATAAAAACCGGTATTTGGTACAAAATGGTATACCGCCCAGCACTAAAAGTATTCATTCATTTGTTCATTCAAGTATTGATGAGCAATGTCACAATATTACAAAGTGCAGAATTTATTTTAATAAGTACACTTTTTGTAAGTGCAATGTGTCGAGTTACAAGCACGTATGTACTTTATGTATTGTATAAAAATAATTTTTGACTATTTTGAGAGAAAATTTGTCTTGCAAAAATTGTGAGCATGCTTGAATTCGAGCGATTCATGCAAAGTTTAGTTGCTATTTCAAGCTTTGTGGTGAATACAGCATGGAGTTTGACAGCTAGTTTAAACAAAACAAATTAAATCTGACAAGTAGTCTGGAAGCATTAAGACCCTCCTGTAAACTAGACTGACATGGGTCAGTCTGTAGGACTGCAGTCATCACAATGATCTGACATGGCTTTATTATGTGTTATTTTACTCTGACAGCTTGACGTCTCGCAATGATCTCCTTTGCTGTAGTCAACTTCAAGGTGAAGTAGTCAATTTTTTTTTTACGAGTGCCTTAATTCTAAAGACAGATTATTGGTCTGGTACCAAAAAAATGGGTTGCAAATCTAAAGGCTCAAGCTGGAAGTCTGAGATCTGAAAATGTTTTGTCGTTGTGGGAAATTTCCAAACACTAATAAAAGCTGACAGAAACTCTGAGAGGATCTGTCAACTCCCAGTGTGGTGCTGCATGCTTGGAGTTCAGGCAGCAGTTGTCATGGGAGTTGTGGTTGAACATTTGTATTGATGCAGTCTAATGGGGTGCGTTAGTCTCTGCAGAGCACCACCTGCTACCCTGTGTGAAGACTTGCAGACACGGTTATTCTTAAGTCGGATTGTGTCCTGCTGCAGTCGAAGGTTGAGTTGTCTGAGTTGTGACAGACTGGTAGAGACCTTTGATCTGCTGAAGCTCTGGGAAGTTAGTTATCCAATTCCATCTTCTGTTTGTCTTCTATAAATTTCTAGATGGTTTATGTGCTGATTATATTGCTTTAGCTGATCATTATAGCAAATTACAAAAAAGCCAACAGTTAGACCTTTTGAACAGACTTGGCATTAAATGTTTTTATTTTTCTGAGAGACCAGTTTTTAGCTGATGACTGTGGGTTCTCTCTTTGCCAATTATTCACAGCTGAGTGATGTTTTGATTCCAGGAAGCACACTGTGGAAATCAATGAAAACCTCTATGAACTAAGGAGAGCAGCCACATGACAGGCAGGAAGAAGGGGCGTGAGTGGGCAGTATGATTGGCTTTTATTACCATCTGATGCTTTCTATGGGTTTTTTTTATTTAATTTTATTTTTTTCTGTAATGTCTTCCTCAAATAAAAGCTGAGTTTTAAATTTGATAACATGTAATTAGCTGCTAAACAAAGGAGTGAATCTGCAGAATTTAAATGTACTTTATTTGGTGAAATCCAACACACTGGTCGTGTTAGCAACGGCAGCATTGTGAATTGCGTTCTCCGGTCACTTTTCTCCAAGAAATTTGATTGGTTCTTCTTCTTGAAGAGTTTATTGGCGATTGGCAAGGAACTTAACAGTGTACATTACTGTTTTATTTTTATTTTTGTAATCACTTTGAAATGTTATATAAAATAGGAAAGTCTGACACTGCTAAAATAATAAGTGATTGCTGACTGCAGTATGTAGCATACTCATTGGTCAGTGAATAAAACCTTTGCTGAATGGTTGTTTAGCCATGCGACAGTGACAAAAGTTTGACATTTTTCAAATTTCTTGTGTTGTCTTGGATGCCTGCATGTCCATGTGTATGAGCTTGAAATTTCGTATGAATTAGTTTTGCTGGAGGAGGGCAAGTAATTGTTGCCTTATCGATGGCGAGTCTCATGGAATGAATGGAGGAGCGAGCTCGTCTCTCGTGTGTCAAGCCCATTAGTTGATGCCACTAACTTTGCTTAACTGGGCTGTGAGAGGTTGAGTGGCTGAAGCCTTTCCTCTGCTTCCATCCCCCAGAATGCTGTGCAGTTCTGGATCGGAGTTCAGTGACATTATCAACATTCTATTGAACAAATTTTCTATTGATATTGATCACGTCTATCACTATATATTGTTATTGAAGTAATGCCCAGCCATAGTTGAAAACACCAGAGATAACGTTCATTCCATGTTTTGAAACTACATGAGACCCACCTCAATCTCCATATAATTCTTGTTGTTTTTGCAGCATTATTAAATGTTGCTAGTCCTCTTCTTCTGCCTGTGCTGCAGGAGGCCAAACCAGGATGAACGGCGAGTCAGGTGCCGGGGTGGTGACGGCTCCCCCTCCCACCACAGCCCCACACAAAGAGCGGTACTTCGATCGGGTGGATGAGAGCAGTCCAGAGTACCAGAGGGAGAGGAACATGGCACCTGACCTGCGACAGGACTTCAACATGATGGAGCAGAAGAAGAGGGTCTCCATGATTTTACAGAGCCCGGTCAGTGGATGAGCCAATGGTTCAATTTTAACCCTCATAATGCAGCGCCACATTAGTAGTATAATATGTTCAGACTTGGTTGAAACACCATTTTCAGGTTTTAAAGAAAAGCACCTGTATACGGCTTTATTTGTTTACTTGTTTGTGATGATTTGCAGGCATTTTGCGAAGAGCTGGAAACCATGATACAGGATCAGCTGAAAAAGGGGAAGACGCCCACCAGCCTGTTGGCGCTGCAGCAAATCGCAGACTTCATGACCACCAGCATGCCCTCCATGTATCCAGCTGCACCGCAAGGAGGCATGGCAGCTCTCAACATGAGTAAGCAGAAAGCAGACTGAGTGTGTCTGTGACTTTGTGACCTCAGCCCTGCTTTGTCCGCACTCACAATGAGTGATTCAGAGGAAGCCAGAGTTAATTTTAAAGACAAAGATTCAAGTCATATTTCAGTAAGCAGAAGACTTGTGCTTTCTGATTTGTAAACTGTTTGCAAGAAATGTGAAGGAAAGAAATTTTGTCTTTTTAAAAGTAGTTCATTTTATTTTGCTGTACCGTTTCTTTTCTTTTGTCTTAACTATTTTATTATATTTTAGATCTTGTACCTAAAATAAGACTTGTATGATTGATCTCATTCCTCAGGTTTGGGGATGGTAACTCCTGTCAATGATCTGCGAGGCTCAGACTCTATTTCCTACGAAAAGGGCGAGAAGCTGCTCCGCTGCAAGCTGGCTGCATTTTACCGACTCTCTGACTTGTTTGGCTGGTCTGAGCTTATTTACAACCACCTCACAGTAAGATCACCATCTTCTGACAAAGAAATTAACCTGAAATTAGTGTTTTCTGTATCGTCCTAAAGATACAATTCAGTTCTGCTGGATTAACAAAATGAGGAACAATATGGAGCAAGTGGGCCAAGAATCCCAGGAAACTTATCAAGAGGAAAACATTTTCAAATAAACTAACTTCAGTCCTATTTTCATTCAAGGTCAGACAGTTACAGGATAACCAGTCTTTGACGTCTTGGAAACGAGTCAAAAAAGGCTGCAGTGGGGCAGAGACATCTGGTTTAAAAGGAAAATAAATTTGAATGTTGTCAGTGTAACAATGAAAAAAAAAATGTTCTTCTTAAAAATTGAACCCAGAGGCAGCATGTAAAAGCAAAAACAAATAGGTCCCAAATTGGATCCTTGAGGTACACCACAGCAAATAGGTGCTTAGGAAGAAGAGTATTCCCACATGGGAACAGAAACAAACCTGTTGGGTAAATATGAATTGAACCATGTTAAAACTGAGCCTTTAAGGCCAACAACTTGTTCAAGTCTAGATAAAAGGGTGCTGTGAGTAACCATAAAGACAGCTGTTAAATCTAACTGAACTAAAAAAAACAAAATCAACAATTAAAAGATCATTAAAAACCCTTTTAAAGTGCTGTCAGTGCTATGACAAGATTTAAAACCAGATTGTACAAATATCACAAATATGATAATCTAAATCCTGTTGCCATGAACAAATTAAATTACTTCTTTGTGACTCCTTTAACCCTTCTTTTATTGTACTGCAGGTCAGAGTGAACTCAGACCAGGAGCGCTTCCTTATCGTCCCCTTTGGTCTCCTTTACAGTGAAGTCACTGCCTCCAGTCTGGTAAGAATCTGATTTTTCTTTAAAGCATCAAACTTTTAAAAGACAGCTAAACGTGCAGCTATTTTTTTTCTTTTGAGTTGGACATAAAATATGTCTAAAAAGCCATCTTGTAGCTTTGATTAACTCTTTGTGTGCCATGCCCTACAGGTGAAGATAGACCTTCAAGGTGAGATAGTGGACAGAGGCAGCACCAACCTGGGGGTCAACCAGGCCGGCTTCGTCCTCCACTCTGCCATCTACTCTGCACGACCCGACATCAAGTGTGTTGTACATATACACACAGCGGCTGGTGCTGCGGTAAGGGAAACGCTGTAGTTTTAACAGGACGTTTCAGGCACCATCATCGAGGAAAATGTGTCATGAGTTTGTGTGATTGCAGGTGTCGGCCATGAAATGTGGGCTGTTACCCATCTCACCTGAGGCACTGTCCCTGGGTGAGGTGAGCTATCATGACTACCACGGCATTCTGGTGGATGAGGAGGAGAAAGTTCTTATACAGAAGAATCTCGGGCCTACAAGCAAGGTAACAGCAGTGGGATTGAGAAGATTAAAAATAATATGAACAAGTTTTTTTTTTTATTGCAGATTAGGATTATTTTTGTTCTTGATCCCAGGTTCTAATCCTGAGGAACCATGGCTTGGTGACTGTAGGAGAAACAGTGGAGGAGGCTTTTTATTACACTCACAACCTGGTGACTGCCTGTGAGATCCAGGTAGGACCCCTTAAGTTTTATTAGGGCAACCATCTCTGGATTATTTGATTATAAATATTTTTTTTGTCAAATCATCACTTGTTGAGTTATTTATCATTGTCTGTCTGCATCTTTCATAACAAATTCCTTCTGTGTGTTTTTGTCTTTCTGTGTTTCTTTGTGTGTCATCTTGTTCCTCGCTTCCTTTTTTTATTTCTGGATCTGCGTGTGTGTATCTCCTTAATGGTCTGTTTTCAGGTGCGAACACTGGCTAGCGCTGGAGGGCCAGACAATCTGGTGATGCTGGACCCTGCAAAGTATAAATCTCGACCACGGGTCCCTGAACCCGCTGGTGATGGGTCCTCAGCACATCCCAAGTGGCAAATTGGGGAGCAGGAGTTTGAGGCCCTCATGAGGATGCTTGACAACTTGGTAAATACAAAGAAAATGGTTTAATTTACTTTTTTTATTCAGGTGGGGAGTAGGGGGTTGCACGGTAATGAAAAAATAATTATATTATGATTTTACCACCTATTATGTTTCCTCCGTGGCTTTCTTAGATTCTATTTCTGCCATGCTTTAATACAGTATTAGCATTCAGCGCTAACAGCATTTACTTTAATGACTGCCTCCTACATCACAGGACCTGCAATGTGATTATTGATCACAGGTACTGCACATTGACAATGCTCAAACAATATATCTTGCAGCTCTAGTAGGGAGGTTCTTGGACAATGTTATGTAATTAATGATATTCATCCTGCAAAGACATTGATCAAGTTACATAATATATTTACTCCTCCAGTTGGAATAATTATTTTTTTTACATCACAACTTAACTTGATCTGCAATAATTTATGCTTTAAACCCAAACTGCTGTAGTTTTTGTGTCTCAGCTCAAAAATTATGTTATGCAAACTCATTGCTCAGCAATGCCACATGATGAAGATTAAAAGCTTTTACTTGGAATCTCCAGGGTGATTTTTCTCATGGCACCGGGAGAGAAAGGAAATGGAGACTTTCTAGCTTGAGAAACGTTTTGCAGGGTTCATGTACGGTCTTAAAAAGTCTAAAATTTGAAAATCAAAATTTTAGGCGAAAAAAAAAGTCTTAAAAACTCCCAGAATTTCATCCAAGGTCTTAAATTTTATTTCGTCAAGTCTTAATTAATTAATTAATTAATTTATTTATTTACTTTTGATCATTCCTAAGAAGCGTTGGCTGCATAAATAAACAGAGTACAGCACTGGAATCAGAGGTTGACGTGATCTGACTTCATGAAATGCTAAGTTTGCTACCGGTCTTGGAACGCATCAAACTACAAATCAGTGATTTTTACAACAAGTTAAAAGCGGTCCACAGCAGTCGATATGAAGGTCTCATTGATATGACTGTTTCATTAAAAATAATTTAGTGTTCTTGTATTAAGATTAAATATTATTTAATAGCTAAATTGATAGCAATAAAAGGTTTCTATGTTAAAATTTCTAGGACCATTTGAATGTTCCTGTTAATGCATCAGTTTGGTCTTAAATGCCATCACTAATGGTCTTAAAAGGTCTTTAAAAGGTCTTAAATTTAACCTACTGAAACCTGCGCGAACCCTGGTGTAGTGTAACCTTGTCTGTGTGTACTTTATTAATCCTCTTCTAACTTCTGCTGTTGCTCCATGTTTTCAGGGCTACAGGACGGGCTATCCTTACCGCTGCCCGGCCCTGCGAGACAAAGGTAAAAAGTACAGTGACGTGGAGCTCGCCTCCTCCGCCCACGGTGGTTACACGTACGGCGAGGACAGTGACTCAGGCGCTCGCTCCCCACTGAAACACAGCTTCCAGCGCGGCCAGCGCGACAAGACCCGCTGGCTCAATGCCGGCGGCCGGCCCGACGAGCCCTACGAGGACGGGCCCGACAGCACCAGCCCCAAGTCGAAGCCTAAGGTGTGGACGAACATAACACACGATCACGTCAAACCCTTGCTGCAGTCTCTCTCGTCCGGTGTCTGCGTGCCAAGCTGTATAACCAACTGCTTGGTCTGTGCCAACCTTATTGTTCATAGTATAGAATTTACAGCTACCTTGTTGGTGGTAATGGGCAGGTGGTCGGCATCCTGAGGGTCTGGGGAAGTAATAGTTAAGACATTCAAATATCAGTCATGCTGTAGTTGAAATCATCCAACTGAACCACCTTTCTAATGCTGTTATTCTCTTATAATTTGTATGGGATTATTCATTGACTCTTTTTCTTCTGGTCTCCTGAAGCTTTATGATGCCAGGCCAGCTGCCCAGAGCATGCCCCTCACTTGCATGTGTAGAAGTGAAATGCATTGTTTGTGTTGATGTTTTCCCAGAGGAGTAGCAGCCGGGGTGTGGCACAAGTCCTCAAACAGGACCACACTACTGCTCCCCGTTAACACTTTGGTTTGCCTTTGCATCGTGATGTTGGCTTACTTTGTTGCTTCCAAAAAAAGGGCGTTACATTAGTTAATAAAGGATTAGGTGAGATCTGGGCCCATATCTGCCTAAGACGCACGCCGCATTACTTTTTAAACTTTATAGTTTGGGCTTAGAGGCAGAATAAAGTAGCATGCCTCAGGAGATATTTATTTTCATTTTCAGAAAGGTGTCAGATAACATAAAAGGGAAAATTTATTTTGCTAAAGTTCTGCAGCCTGCTTTAAAAAATATCCTTCAAAAATTTGCAGCTACTTTCCGTTGCGCGCTTGTGTTGCCTTTTATTATTTTCTCTCTAATTTCTGGCTTCCGTTTTAATTCCAAAGTGGCTTTAAACACTTTACGTCTGCATGAATGGATTTGTTTTTAAAGGAAGAAAAAAAAAAGAGAGGGAAAAATAATCTATATATAACATTTGACCTGACCTTTTGAATCGATTATCTCCTGTTGGGAAAGTAGGAAGTGTTTTGTTGTGAGACTCTTTCTCAGTGAGTATATCGTGTTTACGTGTTCATCTCATACTCAACCACCCCAACCCTGCTATTCCCATTCAGTCCCCCTTCCTCATTTTGCCCCCCCCCTGCTTTGGCAGCTAACAAGCCAACCATGGCCTAAACACCAAAATACAATCATGAGCTTTTTCTTACTACTGTGAATTACACATTTACTAAAAAGAAAATCAAATTTTGCATGGTTTGTGTTTTTATCATTTAATCTGCTGCTCATTCACTCTAGTGCAAAAAAATTGTGATATATTTCCTTCATTTGTGCTGAGCATTACCAGGTTTTCAAAAACACATTTCAGAAAAGTTGCACAATAAGAGAAAGGCGAGACTCCATCCTCTGCAGGAAGGATGTTTGTAGTTTGCAGCGTTGTCCCAAAGTGGCCAAGTGTTCTTGGGTGTGTTTCTCTCTTATTTCTGTTGTCCTTGTTGTGTATCAGCCTGGAAAATGACTTTGGTGATGCCAGCTCACCCCTCACTGCCACTCTCGCTTCGTAAGCCAGCCTCATCGTCTCTGCCACCCACCCACTTGGCCATCTTTCACTTCTTCCCCACCACTCACCTTCCCCACCTTACCCTTTTTGATCTTCCATTCTGTGATTGCCTTCTCTTGATCTTCACTTGTGTTTAGTTCAAACAGTACGTCAATGATGATGACAAATATAAATACGTAGTTAGTCTGTGCTTTCTCTCATCTTACTCATTAATCTGTCCTGTTTTTGTTTTTTTAATCTTTGTCACCTGTGAGGATTTTCTGTGAGATTTGTTTCTTTTAAGGATAACAATTTTAATTGCTTGATAAGTTTTTATTTTTTAATTTTTAACTCAGACAGCTGCACTTGTAAGCTGTAAAGACATTTAACAAAGAAAACCCAAGAAAGTCACTTTGTAATCAAATTAACTTTTGTGCCAACAAAGAACGGTAAAATAAAAATATTCTGTGCTCACCCTAAGATAAACGTTCGGAATGTAAAATGAAATCACAAGACAACTAGCATGCACACCAAATTATAGCTCATTATATGAACTACCTGAGTTATGGCCATAGTTAATAGGGGTCTCTGCAGTACACAGGGGGAGGACCTTGATGTGGGTGGAGTTTGGCAAAACTGTGATTGGTCGAATTGACCATTGTTTAACAAATTAGTGGGACTGCTACAAATCTTTTGAGGCACATTTTTCAGAAACTTGCTTTGTTATCCAAACCACTTTTTCTAGAGTCAAGTCTAAACACTTGCAGTATAAACTTGTGAACTTTCCCTATTAAATTAGTGATTTTTCTAAAAACATTAACTTCCTTAAACCTGTCTCATCATCATTGGGCTACTTTTTTAGATTTAAACCTTTTCTACATTCATCCAACTTTAATTATTTTTTGCATGATTTTTTCTGTTGTGAAGCCTGCAATGTATTATGTTTAAGTATACTTTAATGCTTGGGCTTTTCATGTATTTCTGATTTTCACTGTTTATGTTAACACTTTACGTGGCGTTTACAGTGGACAAAGGAAGATGGGCTCCGACAGGCTGCAGCAGCCAATCAGTTCATCCCGTTGAACACCGACCCAAAGGAAGTCCTGGAAATGAGGAATAAGGTATGAAAGCCTGTTTTCAATGGATTTCTTTAGTCATGGTTTGACAGTTAAAATGTTTTCAAATGTCGAATGCACAGAGAAACATCTTCACTGGTTTGTTTTATAATCTTTTGTTTGTAGATCCGGGAGCAGAACCTGCAGGACATAAAGACAGCAGGGCCCCAGTCGCAGGTTCTTTGTGTCGGCACTGTGGTGGAACGGACCTATAACCAGGTCAGTTTATGGACATGACACCTTCATGGCTCCCTGCTTCAGCTTTCCTGGCCTGGAGTTGAACATGCATGTTGATTTCAATCAACTGAAAACCAGTTTTTCTAACATGTTCAGTCCAGGTCTGGAAGAACCCCCTAAAACCCAAACCCTGCAATGTGCAAACACCGTGCATGAACTATTCATTTTAATCTGATTTATCAGTTATTAAAGAATGGCATCTAAAATCGCACAAATACGTCCTCCATATTGTTAATCAGAGCATGGGAGAGCTTTATTTAATAATGACTTTAATGTTTGATCACAGAGACTGTCATTCTTGCAGGTGAGTAGTTTGTGGGAGAGGTAACGTGACTTTGGTCTCTGAACCAGCCAGGCTCAGTTCATGTTCATCATTTTTATTGAATTAGCCAACTTAATTTTTAATTATTGTTTGTCTGTTTGGTGTCACAGCAGCATTTGTAGTCTGAGGATTTTGAAGTGTTGAAACACTAAACAAAATCCCTTCTGGACTGTGTCTATGTGCATGTATATATTTTCCTCTGGGAAGGAAGTTGTGTAAAAACTCATGCTCTGTGGTTCTGTTTGCATGGCTCCCCACTGCTGAGTCTATGGGAAGCTTTTTGCTGTTTTTTTCATTGTGTTAAATGAACTTTCAGCGATTTCATTGAAAACATAAAGGAACTGGACAAGAAGATTATTGTTAACATGAGTAAGTTGTAGGTGTTCGTCCATACAAAGAAGGTGCTGATGTTGTAGATTTGGATTAAATGTATCAATACTCCTTAAAGTGTAACTAATTCTCCTATAAAAACATAACCCCACCCCCAGACAAAAAAATAAAAATAAAACATTTACAAAGTGGGCAGTGCCGAGAAACACTGACGGGCAAGGCCAAGTGTGGGGATGAGAGAATGTGAGAGCTATCTTCATTTGACGAGCTAACATTTCTTTAAAAAATCTGATTCTGCTAAAGACATTAATGTAGACTTGCAGTGCCAAGTCTCAGTAATGATAATGTACTGCAAGTGATTGACCGCCCCTCTCGCAGGATTAAACATCAGCAAACAGATTTATTACTGAGGGAATATTTAAGATGATGTGACAGCAACTTTGTGTAAAACATGTTGAACCAAAAAGAGGATGGCTAAAGTAAGTTAATTCAGTTAGTTTTCTGCTACGAGGCAGATGTCCGTCACACTATTAATGCATCACGCTGAGCTCTGAGCCCAGCTGATTTCTGCTTCATGCCTCTTTTGTTTTTGCATTTTGCTGAGTTCATTTCTAACTGTACATGTGAGCGGGAACTGGACAACGTCTCCACTGAAACACGAGTGACCAGAGCGATGCAGGTAGTTTCACAGCAGGGGAGCGTTTTGTTTTTATCCCCCTCCTCACCGGAGGTTGAGGAAGGCTGTGGACCCCAGCAGGTCTGCAATGCCTGAAGCCGGTGCTGCTGATGAATGGAGGACAGAGTGGGTCCAGTTTCTGAGTGTTAAAGTGATATTAGCAGCATCATCATGGGCTAACGTTCAAAGCCGTGTCAAACTTTCATCACAAAGCTCGCTATTCACAACACCTGACTCGCTGCAGGGTTATCTCTGAGTTAGAGGGTTTTACACCTGAACACGGGAGCTGTGATGTAAACATGTGCCAAACTGTACTGTTGTAACCAATAGAAAAATTCAACTGCAGTAACCACTGTTCAACCCATAGAGGGCAGTATTAAAACTTTTTTAGACCAAATGTTGCAGAATTTACATGAAAATGGAAACATTCGCACAGAACTGTAAAACTAATACCCCTGAGGCACAATTGAAAGTTTTTCTGCCAGATAAGCAGATTTGGGGTTTAGTTCCTCTTTAATGTACAGCATCTGCCTGTTTTTTGTTTGTTTGCTTTGTAAAAATGCATGCTCATAATGATCGACTCCATTGCTGCCATGCTTCTAGTAACAACTCGTCTATTTCAGAGCCATCTCTCTTTGCATGCACTTCATGTTTTCAGTATATGTTTGTATAAATGCAGAGGTGGAAAGTCATTGAACACAAACAGTTAAAGCAAAACAAACTGCTGAGCATTTTAAAGTTTTCAGAATGGTGCAACTCTAAGCCTACTGAAGGATTTCTGAATTTGTTGCTGAAGTGAGATTTTCTTTAGTACTCTTTCCCCCTTTGTGTGTGTGTGTTTGTGTGTGCGCGCGTGCGTGCGTGTGTGTGTGTGTTGACGTTTACGACCGCTAATGACTGTGCTGAGTTGTGCCCCCTCCCTTCCCTGGGTTTGCTATTGCAGGATGCCCCTCTGTCTGACTGTACAGACACTATTGATGGCCTTGATGTGTCCGAGGGGTCCTATAGTCCTGCTAAATCAATTAGAAAGGTACTTACTGCACTGTCATTCCTTTTAATTTTGTAGTGTGCTCAGCAGCTACTTAGACAAGCCTATCACAGCTGACTCAAAGACTTTTTGTTGGTATTTAAAAAATGTCTTAATATATATTGGAAAAAGTTGCATCCCCGATTTTTTTATTTAAATATATAAGTTTTATCCCGGGAGTGCCTAAACTTCAGATCATTAGTTTTCTGTAGATGAGGTGTTTGCTTTGGATCTTTAACAAAGAATTGGATAAGGTGTCTTTCTTTCTGCTTGTTTATTTGAGAGCCTTTGAACATGATTAAACAAACCCTAACCTCCAGCAGTGTTTCTGTTTGCTTTCTGAGATATGTTTGAAGTTGACACTGATGTTCAGTATGTGTTGCTGCTGTCCCTCTCATCTGCAGATTGAATTTCATTGAAACCCTTTCATGTCTTGCGCTGAATTTAACTCTTACAGGATCTATTTTTAAAGTTTTACAAATGTTTCTTAGGGTACATCAAAATAATTTCTGTGCATTATTTAGAAAAGTCCAGGGGTCGGATTTATAAAACTGGCGTACGCACAATTTGAGCCCAGAAACTTGCGTACGCCACTTTTTACGCCAAGGTTGTGATTTATAAAATCCAAACTTGACGTGAAAATGTGCGGTGCCTCACGCCAGCTTTGACCCATGTGTACGCTCATTTTGGAGACGTGAAACTGTGACACAGATGGTGAAGTGAAGAATTAGAGCCACACTGTGTAATGATCACTGTCAGAGATTTAATTTACCTTCATAAGACTTAGATATTTATTCAACTTTATCATCAGCTTTCTTAACAGTAATATTTATGCTTCTGCTGCTGAGCCATGAGGACCTTTTTGAAATAAAAAAAACCTTAAATCTTAAATAAAAGTTCCCGTGCGCAAATCCCTTCATCTTCTTCCTCCTCAGACGACCCTGACCCACAGACCCCTCCCTGACCCACAGACCCCTCCCTGACCCACAGACCCCTCCCTGACCCACACAGACTCCACGACAAGAACAGCAGGACAGCAAAAGTCATGCTTTGGATACACGTGCAGGGCGCATCCACCTTGCCAGTGTGAATGTTATAAAACTTCACGTTTAAAGTCCGTATTTATCACGCGCGCGCGAGGGTGTGGGGGGGTGCATGCGTGTATGTGTGTGCGCGGGGCGRGGGTTTCTGCCGCGGATAACAGAGCAGGCAGGAGGGGGAGAGGAAGAAGGGTGGACTTACTTTTAATTTTATCTGACTTATTTAATTTAATTTTTATTGTTTTTATCGTCCTGCAGGCTCTGAGGGAAAATTAATTTGAAGCTGAGATTTTTTTAAATAAAAATCGTTAGATTACTCTAAAGCAAAATGAGGGAAAATCTGTGTCAATTACAGACATTCTGTTCACGTGAGCAGCTGTCAGTCAGCACCTGTCAACCTCCAGACGCACGAAGGAGCGTGTCTGAGTCAATCACTTTTGTTGGCATTGATCAGCTGACTGATTTAAATACATYTTAACATTCATGAGGTACTTTGCATTGACTGTTCATGGTTGAGTGTGGGCGTGTAGAGGGTAGAGCCTGAGGCGGGACCTCGTGCGCAAACGCTGACGTGCGGCTGTGATTTATAAAGGAAAGATGCGCAGAAACGTGCGTACGTACGGTTTTTATAAATCTGAATTTTTTTTGGCGTACGCCATTTCCGCCTTTTGGCCGTACGTTCACTTTTAGTATGGTTTCCACRCAATCCTTTATAAATGAGACCCCAGTTCCTTTTTTTTTTCTTTGGTTAGCTGTTTGTGTTTTTGTAACCACCTGTGAATATAGTGATTTTTTTTCCCCTGTAAATTATGTAGTGTTTATGTCTAAATTCTGTTTTAAAACTGTATTTTGATAGTACTGGTATGTAATGCAAAATTGCACAGGAATTGGGTGATAATCTTGTCCGTCGGTCACTTTTTAAACTTTTTCCAGCCTTTGGCCCTGCAGCCAGTCTTCTATGTACAAAATACTTTGTTTAGCTTTTACTGAATGAAGCATTTCCTCCCCCGTAATGTCTACTTCTTTGTTGTTTTTTTTTTTGTTTGTTTTTTTGTTTTGTGTGTCCCGAAGGGCGAGCTTGTGACTGCATCCAAGGCCATCATTGAGAAGGAGTACCAACCCAAGGTTATTGTGAGCAAGACGGGTCCCAACCCCTTCAACAAGCTCACTGACCAGGAGCTGGAGGAATACCGCCGGGAGGTGGAGCAGAAACAGAAAGGAGGCGAAGGTACAACCAACAAAACAAAGAGATGATTTAAACGTGTTCAAATTATTGCTCATTCTCTCAACTTTTTTATCATTTTGAAATCAGGGTATCCGTGGGTCCTTAAAAAGTCTTAAATTCACATATCTAAAATTAAGACCTTAAAAAGTCTTAAATTTGTTAAAAAATATGCAAGTTGATCTTAAATTTTGTCGGGCAGAAGTGAATAAAGTTCTCAGTCTCCCCCGGCCGTCTCTGCAGAACCATCGCTTATATTTTCAGTCTTAAATTTCATTCAAGATGGTATCAAAAAGGTTTTAAAAAGTCTTAAATTTCACTTGCTAATACCTGCAGATACCCTGGAAATGGTTTGGAGTTTTCAGTTTTCTGTTAAGCCTCATTAAATCTCACTTTGGGTTTTCTTCTAAATTTAGCTCATAATAAATTGTTTTCTGTTGCCGTAATTTTTACACAGCTCAGTCTTTTAGGTAAGAGTTTGTGAAAACAACAGCTGCTGAAGCTGTAAATTACTTCCCACCTCCTCTATTCAAGTCGGCACAGTTTATTCTTAATGTGTCTTCCACTTGCTTCATAAAATAACAGTGGTCACCCACTGCATACGAAGTGTGGGAAATTTATGTAGTTCAGAAAAATAGCTTGAACCCAAGGTTTGGTACAGTTCACTGAGAGCGTCCTGAGGCATCAGCAGCTGAAAGAAGGTGTTGAACAACGAACAGGGCATCGTATTGATGCCCTTATGCCCCTAGCTAAATGCCTGATGGGACTATGTGAAGACATAACATTTAGTGGATTTTTGATCGAATGTTTTTTTTTTCTGCTATCGTCTTCTGAGAAATAAGTTAGTGTGTTTTTTATATCACTCCTCATTTACCGTATCACCTTCCCTTATTATGCCTTTTTATAACATTTTTAATAGCCTTTCAGAAAACCGTCTTCTTTACTAATCTACACAACAGAAAAATAAAGCTGCAATACTTTGAGCTATAAATTAACATCTTTTTATGTCTTTTTTTTCATTACATTGTTTAATTTTCTGTTTCTGTACTGACAATCATGTTAAGTGCTGCAAGAACCTAATGACGTTCAGTTTGGACAAACCTTTTGTTATTTTTCTACACAAACATGGACTCCCAGTGAAAAAACAAGATGGTTGTAAAACAGGATCAGCCTCCGCCTCCAGCGTTCCCCCATCAGAGCCAGAAACAGTTCAGACCTCTGTTTCCACACCTCGACATTCATCCAACTCTGAAAATGCCCAGACTCCAGCTCCCACTTCAGCCTCTGATGAGAGGCGTTCTTCTCAAAGTCCAGCTGGAGGTCCTGAGCCATCTCATGGGGTTGCAGTAGCTGCAGAGATGGATGCAGATGATGTTTTTTCACCTGCAGATGAGGTGTTTTTAGCTCCAGGTGTGCTGGCCCTCTGCAAGAAGCCATCAGATGTAAAAGCATCTGAAGAAGTTCGGGCTCCAGGTACAATAGATGAAGTCTTGAGTTCCCCTCCTTCCCTGCTCAGCCCTGGCCTGTCTCACTACAAACCACTTCCCTGTGGGAATCTGGGAATTCCTGCCTGCTGTTTCCTTTGCTCTTTCCAAGGGTTTGGAGTCTGCTAATGTTCCACTGTGTGCAGGCACCTTCTTTACCCACCTGTCGTGTTTGAAGGCTTTGCTTGATTGTTTTTCACCTTCATTCTCCACCTCTTGATGTCTTGTCTAAAGACATCATAACTCTGGTAGATCAGATCCAGTTTGATTGCAGAGGACAGTCAATGTTTAATTCTCCTTTAAGGAAAACAAAGGATGTCCTCCTTCCTTCCTGTTAACACATCTTAGCGGTGTCTGTTATAAACTGTTATTTGAGGGGTGTTTTCTCAAACAGATCAGTGGGAAGGGTTTAAATAAATGTTCCTGCTTTGGGTTTTTCTCTTCATGTTTGTGTTTTCACACAGATTCCCTGACATAAAATGTGGCTTTTCATTAGCATTGTTGGCAAAAATACATTTTGTTTGACATTATTTTTTTTTTGGTACATTTTTTATTACTTCCTCCTAGAGGATTCCCATTTTATGTAGGGTACATGGTTCCTTACAGCAGATTTATCTTCCAGATCCAGAGCAAGTTGAGTGTTTGGAGGAGCCCAAAGACCCTAAACCCACATCAACACCACCGAGCACCCCGGTCAGAGCAGAGGAAGGTAAGTTGGACTGAAACACGCGACTCCGGCCTGGTTCTGCCTGGCTTAGCATGGGTTTCTCCTGGTTTTCTGGCTCCTCTTGTGGTTTTGGGGCTCTGCAGAGGGAATATAAAGTCTCCTGCCTCTCCACCTGCCTGTCTCTTGTTCTGTTTTTTTAATAACACTACTGTAAATGTTGTGTTGTCTTTGTAATAACAGGCCAAGAGGTTTTGACGTTTATTAATAGCCGTGATATTGTCTTGGAAAATAAATAAAAAATGTAAAGGCCGCGGTAGCTCGGCGGTCAGTGCCGTGGTCTTATTGTTCAGACTCTGCAGGAAGGACATCCGGCGAGTTCTCTCGCTGTGGCAACCCTGCAGCAGGGAGCAGCCAAAAGAAAAACAGGGTTATACTGAATATTGGGGAAAACAATAATTTTACTATTATAACATTTTCTTCCTCTTGGTCTTTTATTACAATTGGATTACACCATTTGACATCAGTATCATTAATGATACTAGAACTGGCTTTCAAAATCAAAGTTAAAACATTTAAACATTTAATAAACACTCAGTTAACTTTGATATGGTCAGTTTGACGGGACTGTTTGATTCCAGGTGTAATCTAATTTCAGAAGTGTTATAACGTTTGCCTCTGTAAAATCTCTCACTTTCATTCTCCATCTGTTTGGGGTTCTACCGGTTCCCAATCTTTATTTTTATTTTGTTCTGATTTTTTTCTCCCCCTCTCACATTTTTTTTAAATTTAATTTAACGTGGTGCCTGTGGTTTAATCTGCATAGACATTTGTTTCTACTTGTGCTTTTTTTTTCTTCTTTGTGGCTGCAAAACAATCAGGAGATGGAAATACAAAAGAGTACCTGTTGCCATAGTAAGTATGTACTGTTCCACCTCCTCGCCACCCTCTTGATTACTGGTCACCCTCCACGCTTGTGTTTGCTCATTTCTTCTTTTTATTTCCTGTGCATGACTCCAGTAGCTTGTTAATTGTACTAACACTTTTGTTGGGGTTTGATCTGTCTCTGGATTTCTCCCGGGGTTTGGTGGAGGTTATTTCAGAGCTCCTGGCACCTGGATTAGCTTAAATGATAACGTCACACAACTACAGCCAGAAAATGGCAAGAAATTTGTATTTTCTGACTTTTTTCCTTCCTGTTAAGCTGATTTGATAGGGATGTAAAAGAAAGTGGAGCATGTTTCTGAAGTAAACCTCACATCTCACTGAATCTTTTCATTAAATAACCTCTTTCCTGACAACTCTTCACTCTAACTTCTCTTGCACATGAGCACATTTTATAAATGTTGACAAATCTTTATGTATCTTCTTTTAAAAAAGATTAAAAAGGTGTTAAACTGTTGTCTGTCCTGCAGGCGAGTCCTTTACCAGGTACATTGGTGCTTTGAGTGATGCTTTTTAACAAAACTGGCTGCTGTTGGTTCAGCTTGAAACATGGTTGAAGCCTGGCTGTGTGCTTATCGGTCTCCATGTTATCTGTCTGCGGTGTTTGAGCTTTTCTCTGTTCCCACTGACTCCAGAGGTGTAAAATGATGGCGGTGCATTTTCTGAGGTCTTGTTTGTTTCACTCTGGTCTCTGTCGCATGAAAGTGGTGTTGAAACGAGTGAAGGTGTTATTGTTTGGCATTGGTCTGCACAGTGTTGCAGCTTGTTGCCCTCCGTTGGATGTTTTACTGAAGACGACTTGATGCAGCTCATTATGCTGGACGTTTAATAATAATAATAATAATAATAATAATAATAATGTGACAGATGAAATATTTTCAATCTTTTTTGTGTTGCTCCTCACCAACATTGATGTAGTTTTTGCTGAGTCATAGGCTACGTTCACGCTGCAGGTCTTGATTAAATCTGATTTCTTTGCAAAAATTAAATATTTTTGGCATGGAAGTTCACATTATATTTTTTAATGCGACCTCCATCAGACTTTAGTGTGAACTCTACACGACTCTGATGCGACCCACATGCGCTGAAGAAGATGGGACGTCACATTCAGCTCGCTGTTTACTGAAATGTTAGCTTGTAGATTCTGAATTTGTCATGCAATCAGAGCAGATTTAAAAAAATATATCAAGTGCTCGTTTAGGTCATTGTTTGCCTTAGAAGCTGCCTCTTGTGCAGCATTCACCCGCTTCGGATGTTGTCAGTCCATTAAATGGATGTTATTAGCCATTATCAGTCCCATATAATGGTTCAAACTGTCAGCTGGTTAGTATGAGGCATAAAACCACTCAGGTTTTTATGAAATCTGGTTAATATGAGGCATAAAACCACTAAGGTTAATTTTAGAGAAAATGACATGGGCTACGATAAAGTAGACCGGACTCCGGCGGTAGCAGATTGTTGCATTCCAACGTATATGGCACTGGTAACCCACTAGGGGGCACTGTCAGGACAGTCTGAAGCCATTCTATGGGACTGATGACCACTAATAACGTCCATTTAATAGACGACATCCGAACCAGCTGCAGCATTTAATGTTCAGAACGACAGCATTGTGCAAAAACTATCAATCTGGTAACTTTAGTATCGATACGGTCCGAGACCAATAGCACTGTCATGTATTTCTGTGGATTCTCAGTCATAGGGGATGACAAATTAAAAAGAACAAGGACGAAGTAACTGGACTTGTGTTCTGTAGCCGAAGACATATGGAGTATCAAGATTTAAACAGCATGACTCGAGGTTAGAATTGTTGTTTTTATACGGATCGATCCGCTCACCCACCTCACTGAAGTAAGTCAGATGAAATGCGACATGACGGTTCAGACTGCAATCGCTTTGAAAAACATCAGATATGTATCCGATTTAGTGCCATTTACTGAAAAGGGTCGGATTAGAAAGAAATCAATTTGTCTCGATCAGACTATCATAGATATGGGTCATATTTACCTGCAGTGTGAACGTAGCCATTGCAATAGATAAACAGCTCCAACAATCAGACCTCAACTGAAGTTCTCTGCTTTGGCAAGAAAATTATTATTATTTTTAATTTTATTATGTAACAGGCTTTATAACAATATAAGATTCACTCCCACAAAGCAATGCTTATTCCCCCTTATATGGTGCCACATTTATTGTGCTACTGAATCATGTGTAGCCTCAGTAACATGTGGAAGAACCATACACAGCCACATCAGTCTGGCACCCCCTCACAGCTTTTTGGTTACACACTGCTGTAGGATGTCATCCCATTCTTCAAGCAGCTTTTGCAAAAGTCATCCATCGTGGTCGTGTTGGTCACTCTGGATCAAACCAACACACCCGAGTTGAACCCAAATGTGTGTCATTAACAGAAAAAGCTTTTCAGTAGGGGTGCTCCAAAAATTGATTCAGATATGAATCAAGATTCTCATTCAGAATCAATATTTCTCCCAAAATTAATTTAAAAGAAAATTTGCTGCCTCCATTTTGTAACTAAGCAGGACATCCTGACGTCATAATGCAGCCGGTTCTGCTTGTGCGAAGAGCACCAAAAGAGAGAAAACTACAAAAGTGGAGGAAGGAGAGATTCAACCGGCCTGTCATTGTCTTCTTTATGGAGGCAAATATTTGGACTCGTTTTGGGTTTTTATCGAATTCCCAGGAAAAAAAAAAGACAAGTTTATTTACGAGCCCAACTCAACCCTGCCGCTCACCCAACAAATGTGGCTCCATTTAACGGGAAATAAACAGGCTTGGCACAAGATTTATTCCAAGAAATAGTAGACCAAACACAAATTTCTTTATTTCCTGAGCTGTGTTTATATTTAATCTACTATATCTATATCACTGACTATTCATAAATAGACATTTGTACAGTGTTTCTGCACTTTAAATAGATAAATCTTTAAAAAACCCAAAACAAATCAATGTTTTTTGAGATCTGTAAGAAGAAAACTACATTTATACCTGTTGCATACACCCAGCAGAATAAAATGAAATCAAATATACTGTATAAGCTCATTTAGAGCTTTTTGGCTCCTGAGCTGTTAATTCACAACTTACTGCTTTTATTGGAGCTGCTCTGATTTTGAATTTACTTTTACCTCCTTAACTGTGTTCTTGTCAAAACTCTAAAACTTGGAAGTGCTTTGTTTATGTTGAGGCCTTACACTTTTGTTCTGTTTTGATCTTTTTCACTTGACTTTGTTTGTACGCAGGGTGCAAATGAACAAGGGAACTGCACTCATTAAGATTTCCCTGTATAAATGAAGGTAAAACCAAAAACAGAAATCTGTACCAGCTTGAACTTTGAAAAGGAAGCAGGAAATCTTGATGAATGAGAACTGTTGTGCTTTTTACTGTTTGCTGAAGAAAAGATGAGTTTTTGTGATGTAAAATGTGCACCTCTGTTAGCTTCAGTCTGAGGAAAGGTTTGTCTCGTGCATCATTTTAGTGTTTAGGGCTTGTTTAGTGAGAATGCTGCCTGTAGAAGTGACAGACTTGATCTTACAGATTCTGTCTTTAGCTTTTCTACAAGCACTTAAACTGACATGTTGATGCTCTCCAAGTAGGAAGTTTTGTGGATTTTGCAGCTTACTCTGCCAGTTGTTAGCTTCACTGTCTTGTAATCCGATCCGTCAGTCTGTTTTCTGAGATCAATAACTTTCTCCTCATCCTCCCCTCCGTCAGAGTCTGTGCCAGAACAAACCTTTAAGGATGAGAGCGACCCGGCCACCCTGAGACAGACCCTCCCAGATTTAACCCCCGATGACCCCTCCGATGCTCCGGCGCTTCCCGCCGAAGACTCTGCCGCTCCCGCCCCTGCCACCACCGAAGCAGCTGAGGGGGAGGAGCCCGGCGACCAGGACGGCGACGAGTCTCCCAGCAAATCTCCCTCCAAAAAGAAAAAGAAGTTCCGCACTCCTTCCTTCCTAAAGAAAAACAAAAAAAAGTCTGAGTCGTAAAATAGAAGAATGTCGTATCGGTCCCACAGGCTGCTTTTTCTTTTTGTTTTTTTGTCCTGGCACTCTTCAAGCAAGCCACACCTAACACACATTTATGCTTTCTGTTATTTTGATATTGTTTGCTGCAGGCTTATTAACCTATTTCTCATTAGTTTGTGCCAATTTTTTATACAGTGTAAAAACAATTGCTTCAAGGTTTTTAACTATTACAGGCTTTTAGCTGTGAGTGATGCAGTCTGTCTGGCCTTTTATGCATGTCTTTTACTAAAGATCCACATGTGGGGATTTGGGGTTTTATCCCTCTTTTATTTTTTAATTAACCATTGTAACAACTAGAATGTAAAGGATTGTATCTAAACTTGTCAAAAGTGTCTTTTAAAAACTGTCGCAGCAGAAGAAAAGCTTGTATCTAGCTGGTAGTACATTCTGACAGTAATACTGTATCTACAAATTGCATAGTACTTATTTTTCTCCCCAATAAAGCTGTTTACTCGTGAAATTACACGTCAGCAGGACGGATCTGAATGCTCTACTTTGGGTTTGAGACGAGAGGAAAATAATCATCTGACTGCTCCCAGTTAAATAATTCAAAACATTTAACATCTAATGTTTGACTTCTTATTTTTAATGCCATTTGTTTTCCTTGGTCACACATGAACTGTTTTGTCATTATTTCACAAACCACAATTACTACAAGTATTGTTTTTTTCCCCTGCATTTTGGCAAACTTACAGAAGGTTTTATGATAAACCATGTAGTTCACAAAGAATTACTCATGCTTGGTTTTGTAGCTTGTAGCTTCATACAACAAGTTTGCTTCTGGCTTTACGTCTCAAGTATGATGGAATGTGTGTTTTTGTGTTTTTTCATTAATTGAATTGAGCTTTATTTTGTGTTTTAATCTTTGTTTCACTTGGTCAATGTGAAAATACTGGCAGCACTGCTTTAGTTTTTAATTGTGTAAAGTACAAATTGAAGACCACTTATTGCTTTTTAAAAAAAAAAAAAACAGTCGATCACCTGAAATTGATCAAATGATCGGTTTTATTAAAAAAAAAAAACTTCCAACCCCGATTTTACTGAGTAAAATAAGAATTGAATGTTTACTTTAACGGCAATAAACAGTGCAGTGTTTTACGTTTTAGTTGCTGTTCTTGAAACATTTAAAACTAGTTGGGAGTGATAGGTTATCCATCCTTTTTTAATGAAAAAAGAGAATGGAATCTAATGTGAAACGTTTCAATAAGTCTGCTCCCGCTTGCAGCAGGTGGTCGACTCGCAGTGCTTCATATGAGCTGAAAACTTGTGAAAGATTGTGTACAAAAAGCTTGGTGTGCATTCTTTAACTCCCCTATTAAATAATATTGCTTTAACTTTAATATATATCTCAGTAGGCCTTTAAATCACTTTTGTTTTTGTTTGTTTTTTCTCCTTTAGCTAACCACTACACTATTTGTCATCTGTTTTAACTACTTCCAATTTTAATGTTTCATAATTATTTCATCTACAGACTTAATTTATCACCTTTTTCATTTGTTCTACAACCATGAATAAAAAAAACTACCCTGAAAAACTTTGATGTGTGATTATTATTGTGTCTATAGGAATGTTGGCGTATAACATCTATTCTTGAAATTTAAAAACATGATTAGGACATAAGCACTTTTAACAACTATTATGTTATTTTGTTTATTTTTTTAACTATGATAAAGAATGCATAACTTGCATAAGAAGAGAAATTCATCATGACAAATCCAACAAGTTTCTGCCTCAAGAAAAGTTGTCAAATTTTTTGTTGAAAGATGAATCTGGGAACGAGGACCTAAAATAAAAATGTAAACAAATATAAATTGAGATCCATTTGTCTCTACTGTGCATTACCTTTGCCCTGTCTTTAACAAAAAAAAAAAAAAAAAAACTTTAAAATGATTTTCAGTGGACGTCATTAATTTATAATTGTATCATTTATATTGCTCAAAATAATTTTCTAAATTCCCAATACCCCAAAATAATCACATTTGAGTTTTAAGTTATTTAGGGATTGCCATTGTCCTATAAACAACTGAATAATATTAGAATGTGCCAAAATAAGTGTTTTTAAAATTGAAAATTTTCATTTCAATGATAAACCTGTTATAGTACCAACCAGGCAAGAAGAAGCACTTATTTTAAATTAAGAAACCTTTGAAAGTGAATTTAAAAGCAAACCAAAGTTGGAGCGTTTTCTTTAGCCCCAACATAATTGCATTTTTACGTAAGAGAGTTAGGGCCACTGTAAAAAAATAATCTCAGATTTCTGACTTTTTTTTCTCAGAATTCTGATATTAAAGTCAGGATTTTATTTATTTATCTATTTTTCCAGCGGCCCTAACCCTTGTACGTGTTATTTGCTCTTAACCCGCTAGAGGCGCTGTTGGGAATCTCACACCGGAAGTGGCTCTCGTTATTTCGGACTCTGAGTGCTATCCCGGTGCAACAACGTGGATAGCACAAAATTTAATCACTTTGTATTAAAAAAGAACCGACACAGCGTTATTATCCGATGATTTGCTCCGTCTGGATTTAATAAGTGTTAAAGCCATCGCTGGTCAACGGTAAACTTCCCTTTTCTTATAAAGTTTCTTGTTTCGTCAGCGGCTGCTAGTCGAGTTAGCCATGTTTACAGTAGTAGCCTCGTGCATAATGACCAGTTTGTGATAGTTTTGGTTTCATCGGCTTTACGTAGCGAGTTGAACGGTCATCGTTGTTGGGATTATTTTGGCTAAACTAATTTAGGAGTTGTAAAATATATGCACGTTTAAGACATACTAACATCAATCCAAACTCGGTGTCACAGATGGGGAAGGCACCACAGAAGAAGAAGAGCCTCGCTGACAAAGTCCGCAAAGCCAAGACGTCTTCAGAGATTAAAAACAACCCTTTTGAGGTGAAAATTAACCGGAAGAAGTTTGAAGTCCTTGGGAGAAAATCCAAACACGATGTGGGTCTCCCAGGTGTGTCTCGATCCAAAGCCATCAATAAGGTAAAAGAAGATCTCGTCTCCGTATTATTTAAAGCTCCTGCTGCCCCAACTGGGTCAAGATGACCCAATCTTGTGGATAATTTTAACTCAAGGTTAACAGAATGATTAAACACATCATCCTAATTTAAAATATATAATTAATGAGCTTTACCCTAATTCACTGAATGTTTTCTATTACTTGTTTTTATTTGTTTTCAAATTAACATAAATCTTTGTAAAATTTGAAATGTGTGGTAGTAAAACTTTAACTAAGTATTTTGAATGTTAAACAACTTGTACAGCTCCTTCTACCTTCTTAAAAACACAAATGTTACCAGTGGTTCCTAAAGTTTGGTTTCAGGACCATCTCCAGAAATCAAACAAAAGTTGCAAATAATTTATTCCGGCAAATTTTGTGTTATAGATATTTTAAACTATAAGAAAAGTAGATTTAAAAGTAATAATTAAAAAAGCCACCATAATCACTAGAAGCTTTTTATTTTGCTCAACCAAGTATATTCAATTTCACTCTTTTTGTTTTGTTTTGTTTTGTTTCAAAAGCTAAAAAGTGTGTGAACCACTGACCTAAACCACAGATAATGCTTGGTTATTGAGAAGTAATTCAAATTTAATACATTAAAAAAGACAAAGAAGTGATAATGAACTATACAAAAAAAAAAAACCAACATTTTCTAATTAGGTTGTTTTTGCAGCAGAGTCTCAAACGTCACCGACACTCTCCACTTTTGTTTGAAAGTGTAAAAGTAGCAGATTTCGACTTTCAGAACCTTGCAGTTGACATCTGTCATTGTTTTATTTCAGAAACAATAAAACAGGATGGAAACCTCTTATTACAATATGAAAGAGTTATTAAAGTAAAAATTTGTCCACTGCGCACACACAAGTTGAAACAGACACGTCTACACTCGGCTAATGTTAATCTGTCACCAGCACAGCTTGGTTTGTGGTTGGAATAATAATCAAGAGTTGGAAATAGTAAGAAAGTGCAGACGCTGTGGTAAATGTATCTGTTGTAGCACTAATTATGGCGACAATTGTTCTAAATACGCCACTCGTTTAACACGGTCTGCGCTGTAAAACATGCTGCTTGCAGCACCACGCTGAGAGGGATTTTTATCACAAGTGACTGAGACAGTTGTGAGAACAGAAGAAACCATGAATCAGATTTTGGAGTGGAGAAAAGTCAAATCTTCATGTACAACATTCACAAGCAGCACTGGGTTTTATATCCATTTTATTTGTTAATTTTCTTGCTTGTTTTTTTTTTTTTTTTTTTTGTATCCGTAGAGAAAAGAGACACTCCTAAAGGAATACAAACAGAAAAACCGGTCCAACAAATTTATTGATCGACGACTGGGAGAATATGATGCTAATATTGCTCCAGAAGACAAAATCCTGCAGAGGTTTGCCATGGAAAGACAGGTTAGTGATGATTTGATGATGTGAATATAGTTTTCTGTTTTAGTTTGATTGATCAGTTATTACATGTATGTGCTTAATCCAGCCTCTGAAGCCACCTTTTTCTTTTTCAATTCAAATCACTCGTGGTAAAAATTCAAAAAGAGTCATAGTCATAGTTTTTGTGCAACTGACTAAAAAAAATGATGACCTTTTTTTGTTTGCATTGATTTTTTCTTAGCGTGTTCATGGAAAGAAGGACGTTTACAACCTGAATGAGGATGAGGAGCTGACTCACTACGGCCAGTCTTTGTCTGAAATCGAGAAATTCAACGACACTGTGAACAGTGACGATGAATCGGAGGAGAAAGGGCTTTTATCAGGTGAGCCTGGGCTGACAAAATAAATGTTCATCATGCTTCACATTGAGTTTGAAGTTCTCATATTCTGATGAAATATATTTTTTAAATGCTTAAAAATATATGCAAGTACCATTGTCAGAGTATTCAGCTAAAGGTTACGTCCTCCCTGTTGTAAGTTTAGTTTTTTATTAGCTCCTCAGCTTGGTTAAATAATTCCAGTCATATAATTTTTTTTTCTTTCTAGCTGAACTGACTGCCTCCCATTTTGGAGGGGGCGGGGGCCTCCTCAGGAAGAAAACATCAGGGGAACAGCAGGAAGAACCAGGGAAAGCCAAGTCCAGACAGGAGCTGATTGAAGAGCTCATCCAGAAGTCCAAGCAGGAAAAGGTGAGCTGCTAACGCTCTCATGTCTTAATTAGAGTAATGATGTTTATTAGGGCTGCTTATTTTAGTTATTTGTTTTAGAAGACGTGGCTCCGCAGGTTTGACACTTTGCTTTGTTCACAGAGAGAACGACAGGTGCAGAAAGAGGAAGCTCAGGAGCTGACTGAGAAGCTGGATAACGAGTGGAGAAGCATCCAGGCTCTGATGGTGAAAAAAACACCCAAAGCTGAACAAGTCGACAAACCAGAGGAGAAACCGAAGGTAGTAGGACCACAGATATCAATCGCCACAACCAACAGCCTGTGTCAGCCTGAGGCTTCCCTTATCTTTGCTTTTTTCTTCGCGTTCCAGCTGGAGGAATATGACATGATGGTCCGAGAGCTCGGCTTCGAGATGAAGGCTCAGCCCTCAGAGAAGATGAAATCTCCTGAGGAGCTGGCCAAGGACGAGAAGGAGAAGCTGCAGAAACTGGAGGTGAGGGTCCTGAAATGTCTTTTTTTTTTTTTACTAGATTATTGATTCTAGACCCGATATAAATCCACCCCTCCTCCTCCAGGCCGACCGTTTGAGGAGGATGATGGGAGAAGAAGCCGAGGAGAGTATGCAGCGTCAAATCCACTTTTCTGCTGATGACCTCAACGACGGCTTCATTCTTGATAAACACGACAAGAAAACCCTGTCCTATCAGGTGGGAGATGGAACAAATACAGATCCTTTTAATGTGAACGCTGAGTCAGCATTTACTCTAATGTTGTCCTTTTGCACAATTTGTGCTTTTTTAGCCAGACATATTTGTATAAAAGTGCTATGACCTAACCTTTTGAAAATTTTAGCTACTTTTTTTACTACATTGGCTGCTAACTAGCCTTTTGCTACTTTTAGATTTTAGCTCCTCATTTGTTACTTTAGCTTTCACCAATCTTTTAATTGTGAACGTTTGCATGTTTTAGCTAATCTTTATAATTTATCTAGCCTCTTGCTACTTTTAGCTCTTAGCTACTTTTTGTAGCTACTCGTTTGCTACTTCAGCTTTCATCTAGTCTTCCTCCTGTGACCTTTTGCATGTTTTAGCTTTATGCTAACATTTTACTGTTGTTACCTAACCTCTCGCTACATTTAGTTTTTAGCTACTCTTATGCTATTAGCTTTTAGCTATTCTTTTGTGATTTCTTTCATGCTTTAGCTTTTAGATAACCTTTTATTTTTCTAGATTTTGCTAAGTTTGGATTTTAGTGTTTTGCTTCTTGTAGCTAGTTTAGCTATTTTTTTTGTTTTTAGCTAATGTTCCGCTCATTTTAGCTTTAACAACTCAGTTTTAGTTAGTTTAGCAAGTTTCAGCAAAACCGTTCAGCACTCCCACTTTATTTTCATAGAAATGATGTCTCTAGTTTCAACATGAAATTCACTCTGGTCCTGGTAAAGGATGGAAAATGGAACATTCCGGAGGAGACGGAGGAAGATGAGGAAGCAAATGAAGAAGAGGGAGATAGCGACGAGGAAGAGGAGTCGGGTGCAGAAGAGGAAAGCGGCGATGAGGGTGACGTAGAGCAAGAGGAGGGCAGCAGTGAAGAGGAAGACGGTCACTCAGACCTGGACTCAGAGCAAGAGAGCGAGAGCGAGGAGCGAAACCAGGAGGATGAGGAGGCCAGCAGCACCAGACCCAAGAAGAGCCTGAGCCCAGAGGAGCTGAAGGCCCAGCAGGAAGCAGCTAAAGCAGAGCTCCCGTACACGTTTACTGGTACATACACTCATTGCTGCTGCCTTTTTCATCTTCTGTGTTTCTATCTATTTACAGGGGAATCTGTGTTTTCTTTTTAACTGTGCTGAATCACTTTTTTTTCTTTGATCTTTTCCTCCTTTAGCCCCTGAGAGCTACAGCGACCTGAAAGATTTACTTGATGGTCACACCCCTGACAACCAGCGCCTCATTGTGGCCAGGACTCAGAAGTGCAACCACCCTAGTCTGGCTGTGGGCAATAAGCTCAAACTGCAGGTATGCCATGCAGCAGAGTATTGTGTTATTACTGTTGTTGTTAGCTATAAATGCTAAAATTTTCCTTCTTTTTGTCACAGAAACTGTTCGGCTTTCTGTTGGAGTACATCGGTGAAGTCGCTACCAGAAGCCCCCCCGAACTCACCACCGTAGATAAACTTATTCCGTACGTTAAAAATAAGCTTTTTTTTCTGTCTTTTGCTTTCATCTAAATGTAGATATTTAATGATCATTTGTGTTTTTCTTTTCTTTTCTTTTCTTTTCTTTTCTTTTCTTTTCTTTTCTCTTTCTGAAGGGAGATCTACACGTTGTGCCAGATGTTTCCAGATGCAGCCTGTCAGGCCATGCAGAGCATCCTGGGAGATGCTGCTCACATCATGGAGGAGGATCTTGAGGTCAAAGGTCATGCTGCTTTCCCCACACTAGACATGGTATGCAGGTGTATATAACCTATGCCTTGTCATATTTACTTGTTCTGACATGTAAAAACAGCAGTAAGACATTAACACATGGTACATTTTTTTGTGGTTTAAGAAAAACTCAAGTCATTTTCCCTTTAAAAAATACATTTTTCTCAATAAATAGTTCTTTATTCAGAAGCTGACAAAGATTTTAGTGATTAGGTGACATATTTGCACAATGCTTTGATCTTAAACTACACCTCAGGTCTAATAAAACGAACAAAATAAATATACATTTTGATTCTACAACCCACTCACAGTATGGCTCTGTCCTAAGAGCTTTACTGTAAAAAAGCCAAATAAAACATGTTCAGTGTTACTGGAGTATGGAGTCATTTTGTGTCAGTCATCAGGTTTCCAGATGTTTGGTGGATTCTACATGAAACCAACACAGTCTGTCTGTTTTTCTGTTTTAAGCTCGTTTACTTGAAGGTGACAGCGCTGCTGTTTCCTACCTCCGACTGCAGACACCCAGTTACGACTCCAGCTCTGCTTTACATCATCCAGACTCTCACCAGGGTAAACTTTTCTATGTTTTTAAGTGTTAATATTGCATCATCATTGCAGTCGACTAACTTTGTTTTTTGTGCAAAAGTAAGGTTGATTTTCAGCTCCAGATAGCTTCTCTCTCAGCTTCTAATGTTTATTTCTGTTATGTGTATGTTTTCAGTGTCCTGTGAGGTCCTTACAGGACCTGACGGCAGGTTTGGTGCTGTGTTGTCTGGCGGTGGAGTACGTCTCTTTATCAAAGCGCTTCCTGCCCGAGCTCATCAACTTCCTGACTGGAACACTCCACCTGGCGGTTAAGGACAAGGCTGCTCTTGGTATCTTCTCCACCCTCTCCCACACCCTCGTCGTCCATGTTTTGAAACAGCAATAAGATCTTTTATTAATGTGTCACAGGCTACGCAGTGGTGCCCCCCTTCAGAGCGTCAGGGAAGCACAGCAACCTGCTGGTGTCGTCATCCTCAGAGTCCTGCAGAAACTGGAGCCAGAAAAGCCTGCCGCTGTCTGCTGCCCAACACCTCGATCTGAGAAGTGACCAGGACAGAGATCACCACAGGTAGGAGGGGATGATGTGAGAGGATTCAGCCTGACAACAACACACGCACAAGATTTTCAAAGATCATCAAACTGAGTTTTTCTTTATTGGCTCGGGGACAGAAAAGAGCTAATTTGAGCCAACAAGTGAAACATTGTAAAAAAACATGAAACTGCTCCATTTTTCTTCCTTTTCTGAGGGGTATTTTGTACCTCAACATATAACAACATATTTTTAGCATCTTTTTTAAAAATGTCTGTAAGCATTTGTTGACATTTCTCACATGGTGCTAATCTGTAATTGTCTCATCCGGCTTGAAATCTTTATGTTTAAAGGAGCCTAATGAGCCCCAGTTTGCTGTTAAAAAACCGAGCTTTTAAAGGAAACCACGAGACAATTGTCCTGACACAATCGTTGGCACAGCTGACAGATAGAGAGGCGATGAAGTGCGGGGAAAATGTTACAAAGTTTGTCATCATCAGAAGACAAAAATAAACTGAGTCAGACTGAGAGATGAGGCTTGAGACTACATGGTTCTTCTTTTTAATTAGAAAAAAAATGCACTTTTTGTTGTTTGTTCCTGGAAGGAGAAACATTTTAACAAATGACTTGAACCAGCTGCTTTAAGCTGTTTGTCCTCTGGAGTAAACAGAAACATCAGTCTTTGTTTTTGTATAGTTTTGCAGTGTATGGATGTGAAAACCTGAGACTGACCATCATACTGTTTACCTGTACACACACACACACACTGTGCAGCTCAGATTATCGCTAGCTAAGAGTCTGAGTCTCCGTCATGGTTTCACACAGCAGCTGGTGTGTGGGCACGAAGCAAACAGGCTTCAGTGGATTGTGCACGGTTTGTGAGAGCATACTTTTATTTGTTCTCAACTAAAATATAACGCCATAAAAATCTATCAAATGTCCTGAAAATAAGAATATAATTTGTTTTTCACGACTGAAATAAAAAAAAAATTGAGAAAAAACCACATTGTTTCATGAATCAATGACCCAAAGATATTTTGACTCATTCATCTGTGTGTGGTGACAAACACGCACGCACACACACACACACACACACACACACACACACACACACACACACACACACACACGTTTGTCTGGTGCGTTCCTTTAAAAGCAGCACATTTTGTGTAATATTATCCGATTCACAGGGTCTCTGCTAACCATTTTCTGTAAATCGTCTCCGATCTTGTCCACTCCCCTCCGCCCAGTTGCGAACTCATCGCTGCAGGTCCTCGGTGACAAGTTGTTTTCTAATTTCTGCATTCCTGTCGGCCGTTTGGTGACACATGTTCAGCAGCAGCTGTGTTTGCGTAGTGTAGAGCCTGTGTGGTAATTACTGCAGCAGGGATTAAAGCAACTGCTTTGAGAGGAAGGATTTAATGACTGTTCACTGCGTACGGCTGAAGTGTCTAAATATGTACAGATGACAACTGGTTGTTGTGGATACATAAGCAGAAAGATTGCTCTTTTTATTGTAATGCGTGAATTTAATTGTTTCTCACCAGCTGTTGTTTGTGTTGCCATGACAATTTGTCCACTATACCTCCATAAAACATACTGCTGGCAACAGTAAAACATTTTTCCTCACAATTTAATGAACCCAAGACTCAAATGCTTGAATATTACATTTATCGATTGCCAACCAAATCTCATTATTGTTATATTCTATTCTTTGTTATATAT